CCTCTCTCCTTCTNTCCTACTCTCTCTCCTTCCTCCACCCTCCTCTCTCCCTCTCTCTCCCCTCACTCTTTCTCCCTTTCTCTTCCTCTCTCTCTCTCTTTCCCCTATCAGTGATGATACTGTACTGTTGCACGTCATGACATGTAACTCGTCTTCCAGCGAAGTTCTCATTCTAAGCGGCGGTATTGTCGACAGCTCAGTAGTTAGTATGTTTACCGAAGGAAAACATATTGTTTTTGCTCTGTTTTCTCTTCTTCTTCTTCTTCTTCTTCTCCAAAGTAATAAGGTCAATGACCTGAACCAGACGGCTATCTCCATAGTAACTATTGTTGGGTTACATCGTGTTGCAATTTTATAGCAGGAGGGATTTAGACTCCTGTCTGACCTACCATATATATGAATGTGTTTGAGTAAGAGTTAACAGATAGAGCAGACGATATATGCGAACGTAAACATTATGCATTTGCTTTGCAAATGTTACCTTTCTAGTTTACCTACATCTTCCCAAGTCCCGTGAGGGGTTATGGATTGTACGATTCGCGCGGCAAAAATGGGTTGAAGAATTGGCCAAGACAGTGAGCCAGCGGCAAGGGTAACATTACCGCGTTTGCAAATGGAACCCTACGGTGGCCCAACTCCCCTGACAGATTTTTCACTTTACTTGGCTAAATTCTGCTATTTTTCAGCGTTGTTAGTCTGGTGGAGACTATATATATATATTTATGTTTACCGAAGGAAAACATATTGTTTTTGCTACGTTTCCTCTTCTTCTTCTTCTTCTCCAAACAGTGACCTCTGACCTGACTGAACCAGACTCTCTCTCACCATGTTAACTGGTGTTGGCTTACGTAATGTTGCAATTTTATTGTAGGAGGGATTTAGACTCCTGTCACCATATATATGAATGGGTTTGAGTAAGAGTTAACAGAGCAGATGCGAAGGTAAACATTACTTTTCTAGTTCCGAATTGCATCATTCTCTGCAACCTCTAAATTGAAAGCGCCTTTGATGTATAAAAAGATAACATGAGGAAAATTTGCAAGCAGTGCAAACGATATCTTTACACATACATACAGGGGCAAGATGTTAGGAAACGGTTGAACATTTCTCAAAACGATATACAGACTCGACGTTGAAATATTTTAACAAGAAAACAGTATAGTAGACATCCGACTGGATTGGCCAAAAATGGTCCTTAGAATGTAAACTGCAAACGCAGGAATCGCTTGTAGAGTTTGACTTGTTTGAGTTTGACTTTTAGTGCCCCCCTCTCCCTCTTTGTATAAAATTTTATAGCTAGTAAAGTGCCACTGTTGGTAACATTAGACACTCGTCGGTAGTATTATAATACCCTCAGGCCAACGTAGCCATAATCTTCGTACTGTCAAGTACAGTAACTCAAAGCTACCCTGTATTGGCATTAGCCATAGGCTACGAGGAGCTCCTTTACTCTTAGGTCGTGTTTATGTGAAGGCACCCAAGGCGCTTTACATGTGGTTTACCCCGAAGCCGGTTTCAAGTGACTCCATCTGAACGCTTCAAATCACATTGAAAGCGCCTCGATCCCAAACCACTTCTATAGGTGGTTTCAAATCGGTTTTCCCGCATCGCGATTTGCGTCTGAACGCAATGTGATTTCAATGTGACTTCACCTGGTCATGGATTACGGGGTGATATTTCTTCATTTATATGCAATACCAAATTTTACGTGTCAGCAACTTAAAGAGTAGTAATGGTCAAATAATGTGTCCGTTCAAGGACGAGCTTCACCGCCTCTGGCGGGACCACGTCGGCATTCGGCCGAGATACGCTAGGAGGGGGGCACCAGCAAGCAGGTCGTTGACCTCTGACAATAATAACACGCTACCTAGCGTGTTGTCATCGAACAACAATGAATGTAGTTTCGTGACCGAGAATCGTGATCGGGCACGTTTTAAAACGAATGTGTGGCACGTGGACCAGATGTGAGGAATGTGAGTTACCCGAATTGCGGTTTGGGTGACTGCACATAAACACGGCCTAATTCACTGGGGAATACAGTATACTGACCGAAATGTATGTATGTTGTCATTATCATAATCATAAGCACCTCTTAAGGGATCGACCCAACGATAAGACACAATGTATCTCATACACGAACTCATCCGTTATCGGGCCTGGGTACGATATGATCCGTAATGGCCAGCTGAAGTGGACTTTTATGTCTTCCTGGCCAGTGCCTCAACGTTGATGAATGATGGTCTTTGCCATAGGTTCCACGGATCCTGCCACCTAGGCCTAGTACCTCTGAGTTTCTAAAAGCTTTGGGTATATTCATAGAATGACAATTACATAACGAAGACCAGACGTTAGCTCGAGCAGTATATTTCGTAGATCGATTACAAAGATGAGAATTTCTAGCCATAAATTGAATATAGAAGTAGGAAGATATAAAAAAAATCCCTCGCGACCAGAGGTTTTGTCCATTCTGTCCCAATGATATTGAAGACGAACATTTTATTTTGAATTGTACACTATATAACGATAAACGCACAAAGCTGTTCAACCTTCTCTCCGCCTGCTCAACAGAATTTGTTACTTTTCATGCTATAGATAAATTTAATTTCATCCTAGAAGGCAATAAGCCTTACTGTGTACAAATAGGTAAATATATCAAAGAATGTTTAAACCATAGAACAAGTAGTATTAGTTGACCCATCTATTGTTCTGTACGTAGGATAATTTCCTTGTACCCATGTATATTTGTCTGTATATCTACATGTCTTAGACTTTACGAAAGTCGCTGTACTTTTGTTGTGTCAATAAAGTTCTCTATGAACTTGAAGCACGATAAAGGAAATGCGTTAGAATTGATGGATGATGGTCTTTGTTACAGATTCCAACTACCTAGCCAAGTTGGCGGAGTACGTTTGTGGTTCTAAAGCTTTGGAGGATCTTTCAGCATATTCGTAGAATGATGATGATATTACGATATGACCATACGTGACGCGTTAACCCTATTCATATGGGGACGCTTTCTTATAGTCCCGCGCCAACTTTTATGTCTGAGACCGAATGGCCTGTGCCAGCGTCACCAAACTTTTCCTGAAATATATTTAGCAAAACGTTAAGTTCATAATTTTTCGTGTTTTCAGTTTGTTTCAGGGCAGAATGTACTGTTAACAGTGGGTGAACATATGTGGTGTGTGTTGCCATACTTGGCATGCATCACCCAATTGCAAAATTTGTGTTGTTCTTCTTGCTGATTGACTGCTTAGGTAATTAGGTCAAACTCTAATCCTCAAGGGTAATCTTCAAGCAGATACGATGATCATGGGTGACCAAGATAGGGGCGAATATTTGTAAACACAACAACAACAACAACTACAACAACTACATGTACGTATACAACTGGAAATTAAAATGAGCCAGCTACTAGTCATACAATAAGAATACGGGCGTTGTTGATACAGTATATCCCTACTTCGTTCTTAATTATGTTTCATGCAATTATGTATTATGTATAATGTATTTGATAGTTTGGGATGGAATATGCTGTGTACTTAAGCGAGGGGAATTGATGTGACATTATATTGAACCGAAAATCATCGATATACGATGTTAAGATCAGGTTGCACTGATTAGAAAAAAAATCACATCACACGTGGGTGAAATATGTCACCTACACCTACATATAAGTTATACGGCGAGTACAGAGACTCTTTTACATAACCAAGTGTTTTATTCATAGCAGACGTTTCGGTGACCGTCTGTCACCTTCCTCAGGGCAATTCTGACTGGTTCACATTACACTGCAGCACAGGTGTCACTGTTATAGATGTATTCTCAAACGTATCATGCGTCTATAGCAGTGACACCTGTGCAGTGCAATATGAACCAGTCAGAACTGCCCTGAGGAAGGTGACAGACGGTCACCGAAACGCCGGCTGTGAATAAAACACTCGGTTGCATAAAAAAAGTCTCTTTACTCAATATCTTACCAAGCTGAGGAAACTATTAACGTACGGTGTTTTCTATCTAATACTACTAATATAAACTAGAAAGGGTACAGAACCAAGCTGCAAGATTCTGCACGAACAACTATCAAAGGGATGCTAGTGAAATGAAAAGAAACCTACAGTGGGGGTCGCTGGAAGACAGACGTAGAATGTCCATACTGTGCATGATGTACAAAATGAGTAATAAACTGGTGGACGTACCAACCACTAAGTATCTGATACCAGCCCAGGAAAGGACGAGAAACAGCCATGCCTTCAAATATCAGAGTTATCGACCAAGAATTGAGGTGTTCAAAAACTCGTATTTCCCCAGAACTATCGTAGACTGGAACTTGTTGCCACCAAGCACAGTAGGGGCATCATCACTGGAAAGTGATGCAATAAATTCCTGCGATTAAATGTGCAAAGATTGAGTGTAACAAGTCGTTCAGTGTGATATAGCTAGCTGCTGCCGCGCCGCGTACCTGCGAAGCTGGTGTGTTACGCCGAAGGGCGGTTATACCGGCTATACAGATACAGATACAGAATGTTTTAAAAGTAGCACAAAATTTTCCAAATCTATCCCGGAGCTCTCTTTACTACTAATGGTCAGTGGAAGGAGTACATGTAGATCATGACGCGTGGAACAGCTAGGCTTTCTTTGAAAATCCTCTGGAACGGTGCCAATCAGTCCTGTTATAATAAAAGTTGACTTCATAAAAGTTTTCCCTCCAGCTCTAAAAGCATCATCCGTCATCTTTGCCGGTAGCTCTGTCAGAGGTTTGGCTGGCGAAAGGCAGTGTTAAGGTTAAGTTAAAGACTGGTGATGTACATCAGGACGTGCGTTAAAAGCATCTCAAAGGACGAGGAGGTATAAGCAAAGAATCCCGTCTTATTGGTGGTTTCAATCATCACATGATGTGGTCCTTGACATTGGTATAATGTTTGAACGAATTTGCAAACATTGTACGTTGAATACGGTGGAAGACGAAACGCATTTTATCTCAAATTGTACCCTGTATAGCAAGGAACGAAATGAACTCTTTGAGCTTCGTCTCCAAATTCTACCCAAACTTTCACACATATACAAATGAGAAGAAAACTACTCTCCTCTTAACATCCGAAAACCCACAAATTATGGAAAAAGTGGGATCCTTTGTCTTCCTCTGTCTTCAAAAAAAGAAGTCAAACCCAGTAGTTTTTACTAGTAGTTTCTTAGTAGTTATCAGTAACTCTGTGTGTACTAATTATCTGTTTTTATACCATATGTTTCTTCTGGCCTGCAATTAGCCCTCGGGCACGAATTTGCAATAAAACAATTATTATTTAACGGTATGGACTTGGCATTCATTGAAAAGATGGGCATATACGTCAACGTTGGCCTATACCTTTACCTGAAATATATATACCTGATATATACAAAGTATGCTTTGGGAATAGCCCTCAACTTATGGGAACCAACGACGATAAGAAAAGATGGAAAGATCATAGCTAAAAGTTAGCCATGAATGATGCTTCAAACTTGCCAACATTTTAATACTGACTGAGACATTTGTTGCATGGAATTCCAACTAACTAAAACACCATACTTAGTAACAGTACAATGTAACTGTATATTACTGAACATGAACATCGATGTTCATTGCTCGTGGACCCTGGTTGTGTTTAAAGTTACTAGTTAGAGAACGATATCTAATTTAGCACATGTCATGCTAACAGATATCACTGTACACAGCATGTCTCACTGCATTCACTGAATGGCACCAGGAGACAATTAACTCTGGCTATCATGTTAAATGTTGCGATTTCTGTAACAACGCACATCAACACACAACTATTCTTTTCAGGGGTGCCAAAGAATTCATCAGAATTTTACGGAATTCATACGATCCTTACTAGAAACATACGAAGTTTACGGAATACATACCATCCATTACGCGGAAACATACGATCCTTACTAATTTGGGGTCATTTGGTGACTCGCGATCAAGGCGGTTTCACCGATTTCCAGCATCGCCCTGCTATTTGGTCTAAAATCCAGGCTACTATGTCGTGAAAGAAGTCCGCATAAGTGCAGTTTGGGGTTTAGCAGGGCAGGATAAGCCCTTAAAATTCTTTGAAACCAAGATATTCTAGGGAGAACATCGCTATAATAGTCCGCCATCTTGAATTTCCAAATTAGTAAGGATCGTATGTATTCCGCGTAATTGATCGTATGTATTCCGTAAAATTCGTATGTTTCTAGTAATTGATTCTATGTATTCCGTAAACTCCGTATGTTTCTAATAAGGATTTTATGTATTCCGTAAACTTCGTATGTTTCCTAGTAAGGAACGTATGAATTCCGTAAAATTCTGATAAATTCTTTGGCACCCCTGTTTTTGTCCTTTGGTATGGAGATGAGTAACGTCTCATCTTGTACTGTGTACATCATAGATGTATCAATCCGTATATGTGTATACACATTTAAGGCGAAGCAAACCTCATTTCCATGATGAGATTTCACGACAAGAAAAACATTCTAATGCAATAAAAATCATTAGTACATATAGGTTGGTTTGTGGCATCATTAGGGAGGCACGGTTGACCACTGATGACAAAAGCGCCACATTTTCTCATCTTTTGGTAACTGAACTAAGAAGGAGTGACTATGTAGGAACACATCGCCGAGGCATGACGATTATCTGAACACATTTGTCAAAATTGAACGGTTGCTTGCTCTCAGGAATCATTTCAGACCAACACAGCAAGTGACTGTTATCCATAACAGCAAGTACCAGTGGCCTGTTTAAAGGCATCCAAAGCGATTTTAGGGCAGCAAAAATGGAAATATTCTGAATAAGGCAATCTTTGTGATATTGACACATACTGCTTCACATTAGCACATTTGAGTCAGTATTTCATACTTTGGGCCTTAAAAATGCAGAAACAAGCCCCAAGATGAGTCCTTTATTTTCTGGGTGGTACCGTAATCAGCCCAGGGCCCTTCCAGTAACCATTTTCCGTCAGAATTTTGTACCTTTTTGCTCCATGAGTGTCAATATACATTGGGATAGTGTGTTTTCAACTCTGTATGTAGATAAATGACTGAAATATCGGTTTTGAAAATCGGGTTTCTAAGCCCTAAAAACTGCACTGGATGCACTGTACAGGCTTCAGATGCGAAGAATTCACTCAAAGATGAGAAGTCTCCCTCCCTCCACGTCCAGGCTCAGCAGGTAAGGCTTCATACGGATCCCTTCAACAAACTCCTTCATCTGCAGAACTCCGTTACCGTCTTCGTCCAGCTCCTGTGAGAAAAAAAAAAATTTTGTAAAAAGTTTTCATACTGATATTTCAAAATGGCGGACGACATCCGGGTACTTTTACTTGGTCCTGACGTCACGTTTTTTGGGGGGCAAGATGGCGCATGACAAAAGAGCAATCGCTAGACGACGACCGACATGAAGAAGATAAAAATGTCGAATGGTTGGTGGTTCTTTTGATTAATAATGTTTGATCAAGATACTGATTATCTCAATATACATGTATGAAGGCAAAATGTATGACTTCACTGGGTACTTGACAAAGAGATTATGGATCACGATTATGATTTTGACATTTTGGTTTGTATATTTCTGTTCAGCCGTTTATATATGTTGTATCGTTTGTTAACTTTTCAGTTATACTTATTTTCCGTTAAACTGATCTCTGTTAACTTTTCTCAGTTATGTTACTTGATTGTATAATTTACTTTTATACAAATTGCTTTATGTTGTGTTTAATTATGTTATGTTATATTGTTTATAAATGTGTCCCTGGGCCCTCTTGGAAATCAACAATTTTTCTGTTGTAGAGGCCACCCAGGTGTTTATAAGATGAAATGAATAAATATAAAAAAGAAACATAGTGGGTGTCGAAAGCTCCCCGGCCCAGAGTAGCAAACATTTTTCTTGTGTGGATTGTTTAAATTTCGTCAAAAGATGTATTTAATTACCCCTTTTACGACGTGACTTCGACACCAAAACGCTGCTAAACATGCACCGTGAAATCACAATTTAGGGCAACAGAGTATCATAACTTATACAGGAACTGAAACGTTATGATGCATCACATTGATGTGTTACCTAAGACATGTATGAATTCATCAACTTCAGGCTTTAAGATAAACGCTGTTGGAAGCTGGCAACAGATGCTTTTTCTAATCCTGTTTCGCAATTAAGTAAGTACGCGTGAGCAAAATGTAGTAATTATACAGCCAAGGGAAATAAAAACCATAATAGAAAAAGAATGATGAATGCATTAAAGATAATTACCCTGCAAATATCTCCTTTTTCTAGCAATTCTGGGATTTTATTAATCATCAAAGACCATGTAAATTGTAGTGTTACCCATAAAATAGTCAATCTAAAAGTAAAGCCCTGTCACACATAGCAAAATATGGCCTCCAGAACACTGCTAGATTCCCCCAACTATGGTCGTAAATAATTTCATCAGGTTGGTAAACGAATGAAAAGCAAAGTTCTTTAAACACAAACATTTATTTTTCACTGTTTGCACTGTCAGCCAAGTAACAGTGCACTATGCACCAAGTAACATCTAGCGTCAGTGCACAGTAAACCAGTCAGAATTGCCTTAATGAAGATGACAGACGGTCTTCGAAACGTCGGCTCGTGAAAAAATAAATGGTTGTGATCAAAGAACTTTTCTATTCTCCCCTAACTAGGGTTAGGAGTAGACCAAGAGCAAGGCTGGCTGGTGTTCGCGGCCAACATTTTGAAAACATTCGGTTGTTGACAGGAGGTACGGCAATGGTTCTTTGGTGATTGGCTGGTGTTCGGAAGAATATGGGGGAGGGTAGTTGTCAGTGAAATTTGACTCAAACTTTTAAGTTAAAACTACGTAGCCATGGCCAAAATCTGGCTGGTCAGACTTCAGCCAACCTTGGTTCTGAATGTGTGACAGGGACTTTCTCGCTCGGCCCCACCTGAAATATCCTCTCGGCTAGCATCTGTAGCTGAGGCTCCGTCTTCTCCAACTCCTCCAGACCGTACTCTGGGTACCGGATCTCGTACATCAACTGTGGAAAGTAAACCGTTAGGTGTTTAAAATAACCGTCACAACTGGGACATTACGACAGCAGCATTGCAACTAGAAAGGTAACATTTGCAAAGTAAATGCATAATGTTTACCTTCGCATACATCGTATACTGTATCTGTCAATTCTTACTCAAACACATTCATATATATGGTCAGACAGGAGTGTAAATCCCTCCTGCTATAAAATTGCAACATGATGTAACCCAACACTAGTTACCATGGTGATAGCCGTCTGGTTCAGGTCATTGACTGGTTTGGAGAAGAAGAAGAATTGAAAACAGAGCTAAAACAATATGTTTTCCTTCGGTAAACATAATAACGTACCGGTTTAATGTTAAATTAGACTTTTGAGACCAAGGTGGTGCAAAATAGATTAATTTTATCACGTTTGACTAATTGCCGAAGTAACGTGTTCGTAAGGTCAGTTATCCGGAAGACTGAATATTAATCTTGAAAGAAAGTCACGGTTTGTGCCTTGGTCTACTTTATCAAAAGGGTTAGACATCTCCCAATGCAAAGAAGAATAAAAGTAATTCACCATGAAACGTCCTGAGACAACTATGACAAATGTGCAACTAGTAATTAACAGTATCTCCTTGCCATTTCTGTTATAAATGTACTCCTTTCGGCTTGCATTATTCATAGATGTCTTGGTAATAATCATTTTCTTCCTGTGATACTAATTGTTTGTAAGAAAAAGAAAAACTTGGTTATTCGCACAAAAACGTAGCAAAAGGTTTGCGTTCTGGTATGGGGGCAAAAAGCCACGCATACAATGCAGTTTGACCGTAAGCACGCTGATCTCAAGTAGGTCTGACAAATGTCCCTTCACTGTAACGGCTACATTAATGTCTTCCCGAAATTATGACAAACATTTTTCACGAACTCATTTGAAACGTCTTGATTACGTGTAGAAAGCCCGGCTATCCTATGAGAATGTAATCTGGCACCTCCAGGCGGGCGGGAAACACGTGGTAATCACGTGAACACAGCGTGCGCATTCTTGGCGTGGCAGGTGGAGAAATGCCACCGGGGATGTACAATAAAATCTGGCATTAGTCATCCAGATTGGCACAGCAGTAGACTGCATAACAACTAGTACGCCTTAGGCTTCTAATAACCTCAACGCTACAAAGAGTTTCCACAGTGGGCGTCACTGTTAAGGAAACAGCAGCTATGCTAACAGCACCAAGGAAAGAGCCGTATTCGCGTATCAGTTTTCGATCAAAAGATGGCAAGGCTTGCTTGCGGGTACAATGTATCATTATGCTATCTTATAACGATAAATTTTTCGCGAAATGAAATCACAACTTGTAGATCTAGACAGTTCTTGCGATACCAAAGGCACATTTGCACTCCGCTGTGTTGCTGGATTTTTCTAGTTTCTCTGGTTTACCTGACAATATCGTTGGTACATATTCTCAACAGATGAGCAGCCTAGCTATAGAAACACATCAATACAGTGTACATGGCTAGTACAAGTCACTGGTAACTGAGAGGTCCCAAACCCATCAACCTACATTGCTTTGAATTCTACCTTGGCGAACATTTTTAAGAAGCATCAGGAAATGGCTTTACCGTTGAAAAAGTTTCTAGCTCTGTGGCTTTGTTGGATGTATGAGATTATGCCGTACTTGGCATGGTGTTCACGTTATCGTTCACTGTTTAGTTACCGCACAGGGATGGACATGTCGTTTACTCAAACTGTAAATCTAAAGAACCCATTTCTATCCTGGTAGCGAGCCAACAGTGCTTTTCAACCCGTGTGCTATCTCCGATCAACTGACGAGCTGCCTATAGGCCTATCGCCATCGATCGATAGTACACAGGAGATTCCTTCATTTGTGCGACGTCAAAAAAACTTCAGACTTAAACAGCCCTGAGCTATCTGCTAAAATAACTAACCCCACGGGAAAAATCAGACTGAGAACCTTACCTTCAAGACATCGAGGAGTTCGTTTGTGCTGATGGACCCGCTGCCATCCAGGTCATACATGTAGAAGGCCCACTTCAACCTCTCCGTGATGCTGCCGCGCATCAGAACGTTCATGCCACACATGAACTCCCTGAAATCTATCGTCCCGCTACCGTCTCTGTCAAACGTGCGGAAGATCTGCGTCGCCAGCTCGGCTTTCCTTCTGGAGTCGCCCGACTGGAAAGAACCGACGTAGAACGAGACGAAGTGCTCCTCTGTGAGCTGGCCGCTCGGGCAGTCCTTCAGGAACAGCTTGTGCCACTGTTTGATCTCGGTCTTGCTGAAGTTGGTGATGCGCTCTAGCTGGGAGACGGTTCGGCGGAACAGTCGTTTGGTTTTCCTCTCCTTCCCGCCAGAACGTAGCACGCTAACTGCCTTCCCCATGACGGCTTCTGGCTGAACCGTTTGATCTCAATACAAAGTGTCTTCACGTCGTCATCCTAACATTCATACTGATATGACTTCGTTACGAACATCGCCGCTAATAGTCCATAGATCACAACTCATTTGCACGTCAACTATTCATCTCTATTTCGTGTTCCGCACAACCACCAGCAGCAGCAGCAACCATAACGCTTAGTTCCCCTAAATCCATTGCCGCGAGCGGTTAGCTCACTTCCCTCAAGAAGTAGTCCGCAAATTGAGCTATCCTGGTGCATACACAAGTCCGGAAAAGCCACAGCAAACACAAATTGCTCCGTAGTCATAGAAACGACAAGAAAAGACTTTGAGAAGCCGATTTTCTGCGTGCACTTAGGCCTGAATCTCTTTTTTATACACTCAATCTCACACTAGCCGAAAGCTTTTTTCTCTTCTTACGACCGTGGAGGCAAATGCTTTACGTCAGTAGTAGTTACAATGAGTAATGTTCTGGCCTATAATAGTGTTCGTAGCCACGTTTTACTGGGGAACAAATATAAATCCACTCTTAGGAGCACAGGAAATGTCATTGGTCACCCAGATCTTCACGGATTTCTTTCTAACGATGTGTCATTTAGAAATACGGAAGACACAAATCTACACATACCCGTGAAATCATGTGACTTACTGTAAGATTAATAGTGTTATAGTTGACATCAATTTATTACTATGTTGTGACTTGTGGGACAGAGTAACGCTTATGAGTGAAAACCAAATGTTGGTTTTCCTTCTCGAGGCAAACAGTATAAAATTTAATTGTACGTAACTAATTTATTTATTCATTTATTTATTGATTGATATTAAAAACGGTTGGGTGGTACCTTCAGTTTAGGACAACTGATTTCCAAGGTAGCCCAACATAAGACAGAACAAGTTACAAAGGACATACGTGTAGACAATCAATTACTTAAACATAGAGATAATAAATAATATGAACAAAGAGTACAAGTAGTCAATCATTGGAAACAGGATAGTCGACCAAAACAAATAGTCAAAATCATAAGGCATAATCATAGTCCGTGTCAGTCCAGTCGAAAGATAAGTCAGTCCATGAGGTCAGGGGTCATGTGTTTATTGCTCTCTTAAAAGCATTTAATGTGGTTGCTTGTTTGGTTTCATCACTTAACAAGAGTTCCGAGATCTCATACCTCCATGAAATATGGGCTTGCTTTGTCCTCATAAATTATGCAAATGACCTCTACATTAACATAATATATGCATAGCGACGCAAACCTTTAAGTAACTTACACATGTTACGAGGTATAAAATTCCCATCATTCACCAATAAGGATTCACAGAATTTCCACATTAATTATGCAAATTAGGTCATCATTTGCATAATTGGTATCTGTTTATGTTCCGCCTGCCTTGTTCCGCCTGCCACAGATTGAATAGATTACATGTATAGCAGTACAATTATATGAAACACTGTAATCATAGAATTTCCTCATTAATTATGCAAATTAAGTCCCCATTTGCATAATTTGCATTTAATCATGTACATCTCTCTCTCAGCTACCTACACACCAAAAATGATGAAAATATGTTGTTCCAATCTGGACTTATTGGCTTTGAAAGTTTTTACCAGAAACTAACCTGCAGTTCCAGAACAAGCTGCTAGGGGGATCAAACTTACGCCACTTATTCCTGACAGGATTAGCTATCTGTCACCAAAAAGTCAAGACCATAGCTTGTTCAGGACAAAACGGTATGATTTGGTATGGGCTATAATATCCTATATAAGAAAAGCATGAACATCGTGGTAGAATAAATCACAATATAGATATTTCTTCGTCAGCTTTTCATTCAGTTTTATTGATGAACTCTCATTTGGCAACGACAACAATAAGTGGGCGACATACTAGTATATACAGTTATTTTGTGAAATCTTGGTTCATTATGTACAGATTCGTTTATTTGCATTTATGATGAGTTCACTTTGTTCACCATTATTTTATCGCCTACCTTTATTTGTGTACAGTGTGTACATATTATGTTTGGATTCTGTTATCTGTACCTTTGATTCTCTTTTGTTTATGTATTGTTTATACTCAAACAGTGTCGTATAAGCCCACAAGGGCTGGGCGCGGGAAAGCGCACGACACGAAAATAAAGTTTCATTTATTCATTCATACAGGCATGTGAGGGTTCAAGTCTTCTTTGCTATGAGAAGAGTAGCAGAGACGCCTATCGGTTCACGGGGGGTCTACAGCAAGGGGAAGGAAACGATTTGTTTCACATCCAGAGCTTCCTTTTAACTGCTAGTTAATCATAAGGAAACAGTTGATTGTGACAAATACTGTTACTAGAAAAGCTAGCATAATCGGACATAACGTTTGTGTCTTTTTTTAATTTAACGTGTTGAAAAAATTAAATTAGGACGACCCTAATTTACTGTGACCCTAATTTACTGTGACCCTAGTTTAGGGCGAGCCTAGTTCCCAGCAAAGTTTTCCAGTATTCAACGAACACCAACGAAACAAAAATACTTGTAGGCATTCGCTATATCCACTTTCAGCATGAATGTTCATCTGAGTTGGTATATTACGTTATGAGAAATTAAAAATGTTCTCCAACTCAAAATTTTTCCCACGTGTGACGTCAGCAAAGGGTCAAAGGTTGTCTGAAGTCGATATCGCCCACCGTCCAGGTTGAGCGATCGTTCAGTCAAAAATTCAGTCGAGTTGGAGAACAGTTTAAAGTTCTCATAATATATCCAGTTTTCTTACATTTTCTCCAAGGCACAACCAAACCTGCGCGGCAGCGACACCTAGCGGACTTCATGGGAAGCGGATATCAGATGCCTTAAAATTACGGGAAGCGCTAGCAGATTTGTACAGCGATAAAAAAAAGTGAGGCTAGCAATAAACATACACGATTCCGGTGACTCTACATAACAGTTTGTCGCCAGAAGCTGAATTGTGATCAACTCTACAACTGAATTCCAAACCAGTACTACCGTGGAGTTAAAATCTTAACTCCATGGTACTACAGCTAACGATGACCTCCAGGATAGATAAAATGGCAGTAAACGTTTATGTGGCAACCGTGACACCTACAAATTTATTCAAGATTTTAAGATATTAGGCCACACCAATTGAATTTCTTGGTTAACGGATTTTTCTAGAAAAATGATGGAGCGGGCAGGCGAAAAAAAAATAAAAACAGGCCTAAGCATCCTATTATGGCCCAAAATGGTACGATAGGAGTCATGAAGTCAACACACCAGGCTGGTTCAAAATTTAAACAATGAATTTTGAACTTTTAATGATACCATTTCATTGAAAGATGGAATAACTGTATCAACTAGGAAGAAAATGATTGTTTTCAACTGTTCAGGGCAAAATATGAGCATTTTGCAGTTGATTCTGATTTTTTTTTTTTTTTTTTTGCAAATCAGACAAAAAATGAAGCGGGCGAATCCGTTAACCAAGAAATTAAATTGGTGTGGCCTTAGCTAGTATTTCCGGGCTCCATTGTACAGTGCTACATACAAGACCTTGCCTTGGGACTTTCGCACAAGGATCTGTGTACAGAGCAACGCATGTCCTCTAACGAGCAGAATGAACAAGATTGACTTAATTCTACTGGACAAAACCTTCTCAGTTGGAATACACTAAATTACCGACTAGACATGCATGTCGTGTTTGAAATACTAAGTTTTGCATAACATATAAAAGCCGGTCTGAAACCATCCCTTTCAATGCCCTACAAATGTACCTGTAAATATTGTACTGTTGTACATGTCGAGAAATGTATTTTCACAGAAGAAGTTGCAATACGGTGCTTATAGATAACGTATCTATTGTAAATTTTACGTCTTGTAACAAAAAAGAAATTCAGACCCCTTTATCTACATGATATATTGAACAGCGTTATTTGTTTGTTTGTTTGTTTCAGTTTGCACATAAAAATAAAAACAGTATGTAATGAATATGTACAACCAAACGTGCGGGAGAACCCAAGAAACCTAAGGGTTTATCGAGTGGGTTCTCCTAAAATCCAATTTTTTATATGACCTCTTTTTACACAAGTGTACTGTAAATAAGTGACAACGAAACAAATTAAATCAAAATAGATACAAAATAATATAGAGTTAACACGACGAACTATCTAACTATCTAATTATCTGACTATCAAAAACATGTCAAATTGAACAAAAAAACTTCCATCAGTCAAATCATAAGTTATTATGCATAAGAGCAAAGGATAAACATAAGAAAGCACAAGTTATCACGTACGTGTATCTACAAAACAAGGATAAAATTGTGTTGAAAACCAGATAAGGTCGAACTTCTGAGATGCCCCCTGTGTCCGTGTCGTTTGAAAGATGACGTCGTTTGCTGTACAGCTAGTGAGAGTCGTGACTCGGCAGATGACACACAGGCTCCAGACCTTTATTAGTTTACTGATGTCTGAACCTCCGCAGTACATGCAGTTCAGACGGCAGGTCTGGCGCCAGAGAGTCGGCGTGAGGACGCGCATCGCCGCGCCCGTGCGTCACAGAAACACGGCGGGATCTGTAAAACTTCCGCACACGGGAATACTTAGGCCACAGCAAGTGAATTTTATGGATCACATCCACAATAGACTCCATATCTAATGCCATAGGGCGAGAAAAAAACAAGGCGGGTTCCACACACGGGAATACTTAGGCCACAGCAAGTAAATTTTATGGATGTCATCCTCCGCAGACTCCAAATCTAATGCGATAGGGCGAGAAAAAACAAGGCGGGTTCCACGCACGGGAATACTTAGGCCACAGCAAGTGAATTTTATGGATGACATCCTCGGCAGATTCCATATCTAATGCGATAGGGCGAGAAAAAAACAAGGCGGGTAAAAAAAAAACAAGATTCCTACATTTTCAAATTTTGACATCATAAACCTTGTTAAGGCCACAGTAAGTAAATTTTATGAATGACATCCTCCGCAGACTCCATATCTAATGCGAGAAGGCGAGA